CCCACTTTTTTTCTAGTCGATAGGATTTCTTTTTGCTTTTGAATTAGGCTGTGTGTTCATCATGGTGCTCAGTATAAGTTTGACACCATTGCCCCGACCTTTCTCAACAATGTGTTGGAGGAACCATGTGCTATGAGGGTACTCCAACAGAACTAACCTGAACAACCACATTCCTGCATTAGCGTGGGAACATTCTGGGAGAGCAACTCACCCAGAATCCACCATGTGACTACTTAGTCACAAGACCTCTTTTATATTATTTCGGACTAACCCGTGCCAGGCCACGGATATATTCATTCATTTGAATTCATTTCCTTTTCCCTCAGTTCTTCACGCATATTAGCTGAGACTGAGGTTAGTTATAACATTCCTTTATTACTATTCCCTTTACTATTGTAACTTACAATATGTATATTACCTTTAGCTTCACACTTCTAGGTAATACAATTTAGTTCTTCATGCATACTAGCTGAGACTGAGCTTCATGCTTCTAGTCCAGCTCTGAGATTAAGTGTCGCTCATCAACACAATGGCTGGGTGGAACAAGATGAAACTTGGGTGGTGAGTAGTTATCATATTTATCTTGGGCCCATTTTTTTTTGTAATCAATAGGATATTTTTTTTTTTGCTTTTTAATTTAGGCTGCACATTCATCATGGTGCTCAGTCAGCAGGAGCAAACATAGGGTGCAGCAATGTTTCACATCGCAGAGCCTCAAGGCTACTCACCTGATGCCGAATCCCGATGGGGAACTTGGCACCGATGCACTGCTTGGAGCTGTGTCAAGTCGATTTGATTTGACGTCACCCAAAATGCGGTCCTAGTCCCACCAACAGCAACATGCATAATTGCTGTCATCTTTAACAAACAAGCATTAAGTAGGACTGCCATCAAGCACATGCAGTACAGGGAGGCAAAGAATGCAGTGGGGAAAGAAATGTTGGAAGAGGTAAATTTTGTCCTGTAATTTTAACTAGAAGTGCAGTACATACACAACTATCCAAAATGCGGGTCGAATGATGACCAAGATGGGGTCTGGTATGGGCTGGGCGGAGGTGAATGCAAAGAACTGAAGGCAAGAACAGTCAGGGTGACCCACGCAGCAGCGTAAACAAGTGGAGGAAGTAATACTATGCCCTTAAGAATAGACTCATGAACATGATCATCAAGCCATGCGACACAATCCCCCACCCATGCCTTAACCCATGCGACACCTGCAACCCATCCAATCGGAAAAATCAAAAATAGAAAGACAGGAGCTACTGTGATATATATCACTGAAACCCGCCATAGAATCATCTCCGTGCGTGTCGGAAAGGGAAACAACCATGCAAGGCAATGAATTCCCCCAAAGATTATTCCGGTGGCTGCAAATATAGACATGAATTCCAACCCCTTAGGCTCATCCACCCACACGAGGGACATCGGATCTGCATCAGGCTCCGTTTTAGGTGTTTGTTGATCGACATTTGTCTCGGAAGTCGGAGGAACAGAAGGGGACTTTCGCATCACATGGATTGGAAATTGAGCATTGACAGGTTTCTCCCACCACAACACGTAAACAAAGATATATAATGCCACATATGCCAGCGCCATTGTCTCGAGTTGCGATCTGTGCAAATGGTTTGCCCATCGTTCAGCATATTGAGTGATAAACCAGAGTAGTTGGAGGACAGTGATAATTTTGGAAAATGCATCGCCTTTGCTTCTGTCAAGAATTTCCATCTGTGTTATTGCGACCTTTCTAGTATCCCCGGTGTTCTCAATTATGCCGGGGTATTGCTGCAAGTCATTCGGGCCCACAACGCTTCCTTCTGATGGGTCGAAGAAACCATTCATGACAACAAAGTATGAATGCGTCAAGGTCCACCCTTGTGGCAAGTAGTCAGCGCATCCCTTCCTAACTTGTGCATTTCCCCTCAAATTCCGGGCACACCTTCAACCATCTCGAATTTTTCTGATATTCTCCGAGATATCAAAAATTGGTCCCATGCAAGTGCCAGAGTGAACTCCGGTAGAACCAGTGACCAGGTCATCATGACAGCGCGCAGTGTAAGCACTGAGGCACCATCAACATAGGATTGTGGTAGATCTGGGTGCACTGCTGTCCAAATGCAAGCAAATACAGTAAGGAGACAGCTATAGAGGATGCCCCATATCATTCGGTAATTCCGGGGTTCGTTGTAACCATCAGATACATTTTGCAGGAAACAAGTCGTATTGTGAGGGGGGGTGGGCGCCGAATAAACATTGTAGGCAAGAAGAACGATGATAAGGGCTGTTGCCATCAGATCTGGTAGAATGGGGGTACAAGCGCACCAAATACAGGTCGAGTATACTTAAGCTTTATAATGTGAACTGGGGTACTGCCGATGTTCAGCTCGTTATCAGCCATGCGGCAATTCCAGGGATTTCGAATTGCATCGATGTGAAATTAAGTTACTGCGCGTCATTCACTTCAAACAAATTTTAAATTTGACTCTAGACTCAGTCACTGCAATCGACGATTTTACATAAGCGGTTGACTGTTGCGATAACATACCAGTTGTTCCTTTCAATGGTGCACGGCCATGAAAACCAGGGCCGGTTCGGGCCCTTGGGGCACTAGATATAGTTATATAACCCCCCAGGAAGTGTTGGCTCAGTCATTGCCATGGTCTCCTAACACTCGATGCGAGAAAACACATTCCCCGCAAATTGTAGAGTTAGGTCCCTTCCCCACATCCCTGAAGGGGATAGGCCTCTCTCTTAGAACATAAAGGGTGAATGAACCCCAGCCTTATTGGTGTCTGGCACATCCTTCATGACTTACAGGACGCTGGCCACTCTAAGCTGTACTGGGAATTCCACACCGCGCTAATGATCATGTACTGAATAACTTCGTATACTATCACCTTGGCAGTGCTTCTTTACATCGGCAACGCCATCGACAACCTTCCTTGACATCGGTCATCTATCGCTCCTTCATACGACATGGCTCAGCTTCGGTTCTTGCCGTCTATTGCTACCACAATGACTACCGGGTTGAGCTCGCGGACTGCTGTGAAGCAACTGTTCTCCCTCTCACTCATTCCAACTAGGACAATGACAGAGAATACGTTCCCGTGCTCCCACTAGTTTCGGTTCGCAACAATTACTCGGGTGCTGGATGCTATAGATTCCATATTTACATGATTGACTATTGTCGTAGCTTCAGAGATTCAGTGCAAGCACTGTACAATGAAATGGGAATCCTTTCCGAGGAGGCCACTCAGGGATTATTGTTTGAGTCAGTCCGAGATCTGTGAATTCACCTGATCCCAGCTGATATGTGCATTTTTTTTTTGCAAATGGTGGACATCTCTCGAGCTCAGAGACAATCGTCGGGCCAACATGCTCCACGATATCCTGCTTCTACTGCACCCTCCGGCACCACACCCATCACACACACTCGGTGTCGAGACATGTCGATGAGTAAGGGTCAAGGCCAATTCTTCTCGACAGAATAAATCTTGTCGGCTCCGACTCTAGGAGTGAGCGCCAATGCATCACCCTCAGCACACCCACAAAAACCAACCTCCAAACCAGCAAATTGTTGGAGTAACAACGACCTGTGACTTATCAACCAACACCACATGATCTCTCTTACATCCGTATTCACCTCATGACACAATGTATATAATTGTATATACTCTACTTTCCTTTTCTCCTCAGTTCTTCATTTACGGAGACTGAGGTTAGTATCATTGTTTTTAGTTAGTTGTTACATTACTTACTCTGTACTCTTCTGTACTATAGCTCCCGCTTTAGGTTAGTATTTACCGTAGTAATTCAGTTCTTCATTTACGGAGACTGAGCTCCAGTAAATGTAATAACAACCCCAGGCTGGATGGCGCAAGGGCACATGAGATACCAAAAAAAGAATTTTTGATTTCGAAACCAACTAGAGAATTTTTTACCGCGAAAATATCGGGGAAGAGTGAAGACCCTTAACTCCCTGAATCACGTGCAGGCGTTACTCCCTGAGTTTGAATTGATTTTGACACTTTATAGAGAAATAAATTTGTAGTATAGTATTGGTGTCACTGGTTGCCTAGTGGCTAAATTGTTCTTTGGTGTTGTGGGCTATTGAATGTGTCGTAGTTCAATTCTCTGCAGTGGAGTTATACTTTCTTTTGCCTGCTTGTGGTTCACAAGTTGAAGTTGACCATGACCATGCAATACTTATACAAAGTCATAGAAGCACATTAGTATCAATGAATCGACTTGAATGGGGAGGCCCGAAACAAAATAAACAAACAGACAAAACAACAACAACAACAACAAACAAACAAACAAAAAACAACCCCAAGCGGGACTTGAACTAAAGCACCCACATCTGACATAACAGACAGGCTACAACCGAGCCGCAGGGCAACCGGCACAGGCCATAACAAAGTCGAAATTATTTTCCCATAACACTTAACTATCAATTCAAACTAAGGGAGTAAGATTAGCACGTGATTCAGGGCCGTTCTCGCTTACTCCCCGATATTATCAAACAAACAAACAAAGATCGGATTCAAACTCTGGGACCAAAAATAAAAATCTATTTTCTTCACGTGCCCTTGCGCCATCCAGCCTGGGGTTGTTATTACATTTACTCTGAGCTCCCGCTTTAGCCATCCTATTACAAATCCCCTTCCTGCCCCAGCCTCCCCCAGCAACAATTGGTCGTACAACCATCACTCTAGAAGACCCAATGCTAGCTAATGACCTGAATCCTCAAGCACTGATTCCCCTGCGCAAGCTGCCATGCTAAGGGACCCCATTGACTGGGGCGCCGAAGGCTGGCGAGACGATTGGCAAAGGCAGGTTCTCTTCTTGCTATTGGGCAGAAGATGATGACGCTGCCTCCTCACATGCGAGGGACTCTGGAGGCTCCCATCGGGTGCGTCATCGTCGCTTTCGTTTAGCCATCCATTCTTACTCACCCTAGGTGATTTTCAAGCCTTCAATGTCGGCACCACCCATTGAACACTTTCTCGCATCCTTCCATCTCTCGATCTCGCCTGGCTGATTATATGGACCTTGCCGGTATTGGTGAATACTTCAGTGCGGCTTGTTTATGGGATGGATTGAATGAGATGATGAATGTTACGGGCGCCGTAAAACCTGAGACGATAAGTTATCTCCCTTTCCGAAATGCTCGCCTAACTTCGGACCGTCGTGACCTCTTTCGTTCCTGTTCCCCCTCGCGTATTCCTCACACCTTGGCTCAAGGATCGATGACCTCGTAATCATGTTCAGCACGATGCATCTCAGCCTCGTCATTCTTAGGGAACTCCAAACGATGGCTCATCCAACTAGTGTCATTATCAACCTCAAGTGCAGCCTCCCCACCATCCTCACCCGTTTCTTCGGGCTTTGTATCATTTTCACCCACGCGGTTGCTTGAAGGTCCCTCCACATGCACATCCTTCAGCCTGGCTTTCAAGAGTGGCAAGGGCGCTTTCATCCTTTTCTTTTTTTTCCAGTTCTTGTTGAAGAAGAGAAGGCCCCGATCTGGTCCTTTTCGATTTGGGTTCATCCTCGGAGTCACGACTCACTCGGCTGTTGCACTCAGGGCATCGCTCTTACTGCCTCATCATGGGGAGCTTGACCCATGTAATATGATCAGTCATTTGATTGGGCGTCTTTTTTGGGGAACTGGAGATGGTGCGGATCATGCAGAGTGATCAGTCAATTTGGCCAAGATGGCAGTGAAAGCGGGAGTTGGTAAAAAACCGCCCAGGAAGCAGAGCGAAGGGCTCAAGAAGTCCTTTCATTCACTCACCGGACGCTGGTAAGAACTTGAGCTTGAGGGATCAGCTGCGGATGGCGCATCCTTTGAGCGGGCGAGGGGTGGAGCTTTGGCAGCACCGGGATGCCAGGTACGAAAGTTCATGTGCTACTATGCTACGCTTCTGATGAACCCTTAGGAGTTATTCCGTTCAATTTCGATGTCATTCAAGTCCCCACCCCTACGGCTCTGCCAGTCCTGCCAACCGCAGCGAGTTTCATGCACGAAAAGGGAGGGAATGGTGTGGGGAAAGAAAAGGTGATTAATGCTGGGAGAGGTGAAAATCAAACGGATTGCGAGTCTTTTAATTTATCCCTACGTAACTTGTGGTCTGATGGTTTTTAATCTCAAATGTAACGGCGCATCTGGGTCGTATTCGAATGTAAACAACGGTAATAAAACATACAGATTGAAATAAGAAGCACGGTACATACATCTATCCAAGATGTGGAAGAAATGAGGTCCAAGATGGGGTCCGGTAAAGATCAGGGGGAGGCGAACGCAAAGAAGTGAAGGTAAGAACAAGCAAGGTAATCCGGGCAATAATGTAAGAGGCTTCCATGAGTAACCCACATAGTTCAACTACGGAAGAGCAAACATCAGTAGCCTGGCAATGAGTTATAGTAAAGCGAAAATCTCCAAGAGCAGAACGATAAATATTGTCTGCAGGGAGGAGAGTGATCCGTCGTATCGACATGTGCAAGGCATAAGGAATAGGGCACGCCACAATAATTATCGCTGAAATCCGCCACAGAAGGGTCTCCTTGGGTGTTGGAAAGGGAAATGACCATGCCAAGCAATGGATCCCCCCGAAGATGATGCCCGCTGCTACACTACTCGTCATAAGGGTGGACCCTGACGCATTCATACTTTGTCGTCATAGATGGTTTCCGAGTCGACTCGGGACTGGAATTGCCGGTGGATGACTTGCAGAAATATCCCGCCATAATTGAGAAGACGGGGAATACTAGGAAGGCCGCAATAACAAAGAAACAAATTCTTGACAGAAGCAAAGGGGACCCATTTTCCAAATTTATCATTGTCGTTCAGCTGCTATGGTTTATCACTCAATACATCGGACAGTGGGCAAGCCATTTACAAAGATCGCAACTGGAGACAATGACGCTCGCGTACGCGGCATTATGCGTCTTTCTTTATGTGTTGTGGTGGCATAAACCCGTTAACATTCAATTCCCAATCCATGTGACGGAAGAGTTCCCTTCCGTTCCTCCGACTTCCGAGACAAATGTCGATGAACCGACACCTAAAACGGAGACTGATGCAGATCCAATGTCCATGCAAGTGTCTGAGCCCAAGGATATGGAAGTCATGTCGATGTTTATAGCCACTGGGATGATCTTTGGGGGAATCCATTGCCTTGCATGGTCATTTCCCTTTCCAACCCACACGGAGATGATTTTATGGCGAGTTTCAGCAATATATATTACAGTGGCTCCTGTCTTTATAATGTTGGCCAGATGGCTTAGTGATCATGTTGATGATGATTTGGGTATTATGATACTGCGTTTTTCAGAGAAACTGTCCGATGAAAAGTGAATGGGGTATGACCCCGTTCGTGAGAAATCAACCAAGAAATGACCAAATTTCTGCAATTTCCACCTTTCAATACAGTCCGAATTATATTTCAATATATTAGTTATGTGTTCCCCGTCCATTCCCTGTCCCCCATCCATTCCACATTCCCCATTGACAGTGACTACACTGACAGAGATCCAGTGATCTAGCTCAATCCTCACATTGGTTGTGATCAGACCATGTCAAGTTAATTAGTTTTGCTGTATTCTAAGGACAATCGCCATCATAAGGACAATAATACTAGCATCTTTGCCGTGTCCTAGAAAGCCCAACTGCAGGGATATCATGGTGCTGTCTGTAGTGTCTCAATTTCAGACCTGTCATCAAAAGGGCACATAAATATGGGCACTCATGAAAGCAGAGTCCCCGTCAAGCTCTTGTCAGCTAGATCTTCTCTGATAGCGGTCTCTCAGTTCATTGCTTGAACTATGCATGATCTCAACTACTATGTTCTCAACAGGGATAAGCATGCCCGATGGAATGATGACCACATTATGGGATTAGCCCCGTGCCCACTCCCAAAAACATCCCAACAAGCTTTCCAACAGTTCTTTGCAAGAGGGCATGCTTTATTCTTGCCAGACGACTCTGATCGAGTCCTTGATGCTCTGGATCCCTCAGCGCATGACTTGCCTCCCAAAAACTGGACTGTTTTGTCCGGTGTAGGAGAAATAACGGCCACACTATGGAAACCCATTATGAAAATATGCCAGATAAATCACAAAACCTCATACGACAAGTAGATATGAGAACATAGAAGGACCTGAATTTTTACGAATTTTACGAATTTTTACGAATTATTACGACTATACACGATAAATCGAAAGAAAGAAAAATAACAAAAATACTTCAAGCTTACCATCAACGAGACGGAATTCTCGGGGAATTTATAGCAAATATTAAACCAAGAATTAGGACAATCGACCAAGATTTGACTATAAAAATAATCAGAGAACCTCCACGGAAACTACTTTCCCACGTCCGCACACATAGCAAGGATGGAAGTACCACGGAACAAAGATTCCTCAGGAACTAATGCAAAAGTCAAAGTCGTGTTTATAATAGGAAATGTAGATGTCACCCAAACGGAACCAATGAGAGTAATTATAGGGGAAACTACCCATAAACGACGGAGATATGACTAAAACTCCTGCAAAACGAGGACAATGTCTAAAAAGCAAGCGCGAAGATTAACTAGTAACGACCGAGACAAGCTTGATAGCCCATTAGAAAGGAAAGGATCTACTCTTAATCCTCCCAAATTTCCATAATAAAAGGATCATGCGTTAATGAGAAATCCAATAACGGGAATAGCGACATCAAAAGTCCGAGCTCAGGGACAAGACGATGATTGCGTAGGATCCATAATTAAAACATACAACGAAATTTACACGGAAATTATGAAAAATAGGAAACTATAGTTATGCAAATTCTCAGCCCAAACGGTCCAGCCGTTGTGAAGTTATACCCATGACGGGAATATAGGAATCCGCATCATGTGTAATGACACGTGAGGGTGGCGATGCGCAGGGAACCGGCCGTCGGAACCGAGATCCGCACTTCGGCAGATCGCGAAGACCAATTTCCGTCCAAATAAGGAAGAGCCCGGTCAAAACAAAGTACGAAAGGTGCAAAACAACCTTAGATCATGAGGGAAAAATCTGAAATAAATCACAGAAGCCCATATGAAAGAAATAAACACCCGCGCATATCATAAATCCCGAACAACTAAACGAAAACGGCTCCCGCATACGAACAACTATGGGAACGACGCACGTGATTACCGAATGTGCGCGCGAAACTTTGCTAACTCAACGAATACAGGGAAATAGGACACAACCTTAGTACCATTGGAAAGGTGGGAATAAATGAAAATTTATGATACCAAGAACGTGAGAAAACATCCAGAAATGAATGAGATACAAGGACATGAAGTTAGAAACCTGAAAACACGCGGGAAGACAGCTTCAAGAGGTCTAGAGCCCTAAATAAAATACATAAAAATATGATATCTTCGAGGACGACCTACTATAACAACGAACAATACATATGGAGGATTAGGATGTGATAATACAAAAGGGAATCAGGGAATATGAACGAAATTCACGAAAACTACTAAACTACGACGGACCATGGCGGGAATTTTAGGGAACGATGTTCTAATGAAGTAGAGAGCTATAACACATTCGTTTGAGTAATTCTTGATTACTAGCAACTTTTTCTTTCAGTTTTAAACCTGAATAATTCACTCATTTATCATTTCAGTCTCATTTTAACTAAAATGTCACTAAATAAAATTGGAATAAATCAGCTGAAGGTCTCAGCACAGTCGCACGCATAGTAATGCGAGGTTTGAATTCAGTATGACCGAGTCATAGCGAACTTAATGGGAAATATGGGGAATTTGAAATAGGGAACTGCGGCAAATGCGGCGCAGACAAATTCTAATTAACCATTAAAATAGCTTAGGCGAGGAAGGACAATAAGGATTCCAGGCGCAGTCTGACCGCAGTAGACCGCAGTTCAGCGCAGCAAAGCGCAGCGGAACTATAGCGTGAAAATTTCACTTTTTATTCAGTTTGAGAAAAATACACTGTAAATAAATCCTGTAAATAGAAGGTAGAGCGTGAAAAAGGAAGGCGACCCAAGGAGTATAAAAGGGAGACCCTTTCTGCGACCTTTCGCCCCCCTTAGAGAAGTAAGAAAATAGAGTATTATTTTTCTCAAGCATTTCTGGTTGTCACTCCAGTGCGAAAAAGTGATATACAGTTAAGATTGCCACTGTAGTAAAAGGCAGCAATTAAGGAGAGAAATATTAAGTAGATATTTCAACAGGAGAGCTGGTTAACACTCCAGATTTCAAAGTGTAAACACAAAACAGTTATTTTGCTACTGTTAAAACAAGCAATAAAATAAGACAAAAATAGAACGAACTCAAGGGACACTCCAGACACCATCCAAATTCATTAACTGAATAGAATCTTTGAAACTTCACCAAGTAGAAGATTAAATTCAAGTTTAAATCCAAATTAAACAACGCTACACAAAATTACACCTAGACAAATTAATAAATTTCAATAAAGAAACAGCTCCGCAGGGCTCGGTTTATCTGTAAGTCAATTCCCAGGAACTTTAAAACTAACCCATAAAAATAGAATTAGCCAAAACACTCGGATTGGTACTATATTTACAATAAACAACACTAGTACACTTCCCCATCCTAACTAAAGAACCAGGGAACAGCTTGGTGGTGGTCTCGTTTGAACCTCCCAACTGACCTTCCTTCGTTCTCTCCTTCACCGGCTACTGAAATGTGTAGCTTGTGAAATCTCCTCAGTAGAAAGGGTTTCGGACATTAGGACGATGAGTCGCTTCATGTCTGGAGTGGTGTGCCTAGCGCCCATGAGAGCGACTGTTGTGAGTGACCATTGTGCAGAAGTTCAGAGCCTGGACTTGTTATGAAATGAGACCCAGATAGCTGGGCCCAGCCACGAATACGGAATACTAGCTAGCTCCAGAACGGGGTAAAGACATGCCAGCGGTATTCTGGCTCTGTTTAGACATGAGATGCATCAAAACCAATCATGGAAAAGATGGCCAAACATTAGTTTGATCATGGCCAATGTGAGGATGGGAATTGAGAACTAGATTGCTGGGACTTTAGTGTGCAACAGGGAACGCGGAATGGCTGTGCAAGCGCTAATTACTCTATTGAAATATAATTCGGACTGTATTGAAAGGTGGAAATTGCAGAAATTTGGTCATTTCTTGGTTGATTTCTCACGAACGGGGTCATACCCCATTCACTTTTCATCGGACAGTTTCTCTGAAAAACGCAGTAATTGGCCGAGCTTGCCAGTTCTTTTTTCGTGGGAATATACCGTGTGAAAGTGCAATCCCACCCCATGAGAATGGCCACCCCGTGAGAATGGCCACCCTGTGAGAAATGGCTGCCCCATGGGATCCGCGCAACATCGGATCCAAATGTATATCTCATCTGTGCAATGTGTGTGCCACAAAATATTGCGGCAACACTTGCAGTGTAGTATGTTAATAAATACATAATAATCATAATCATTTAAACTATATATTTATTAACTTTGAGGGAAACTTAGGCTCTATGTAGCATTTTAACCTTATCAACATAAGACTGATATTGTGGCTGTGCTACATACATGCGCTGTAGGCAGGATAACCTACTATACTCTACACTGCTGGTATTTTTGCGGTTTACATTCCTTATGGGTTCCTTGCATGCAAAGATCACCTCCCAATGCCCATGGAGCATAAAAACAATTTATTCCATTTTATAACAGAGTACAATTATGCATAACATGCTGGTACTGAATTGGTTCAGCCCAAAAACTACACTTGGCACTGCTGACCACCGAGAGACGATCAAGGGCTCAAAAAATAGAGAAAAATGATAAACATGGATTCCCCAAATTTCATCCAGATTGACCCAGCTGTTGTGGAGCAATGGTGGTGACAATTTCTCATCTTACTGTAAGGTTCCACACAATGTCAAAAGGCACATGAGGGTGGCAGTGTTGAAAGGCCCATGTGGTGGAGCTGAGATCCATACTTCGGGAGATCACAAAACTGGTTTTTGGCCCAAAATGGAAATCACAAGCTGTACAGAAGTAAACAAACAGCCAAAATGCACTCTGGAGTGCTCAGAAAAATTCAGAAAAATCACAAAGGATGTGTATGAAGATTCAATTGACATGGGGACTCTCATGGACACTTTCCAGGATGCCTAACCCTGTGCATGGGCCAATTTCATGATTCTCATGCCCACCACTCAGTCAAATCTCAACCATTTGGGACAAATTTGGTATTGGGACAAAGCTACAAACCTGGGGAATCAAATGGAGAGGTTGGGAAGAGATGCTACAGGTAGGAGGAGATGGATGAGTGTGGTGTGATGATGGAAATTGGTGGAGGATGGCAATTATTAG